CCCCACCCCCGCCGCCCCCCGCCACACACACACAGAAACCAGTACTCGAGAAACCAAGCACCACTCTCGGAGAGTTGGAGAACTCAGGTTTATTACACCGACGGCCCAGAGGAGTTCACACTCCAAGCTCTGAGCCCCAAACAAAGGGATTACAGAGTTTTTATAGACAGACTGTAGTGGGCAACACTAGTTCTTAACAGGCTGGTTTAAACTAAGGGGTTTCGTGCGCAGGAGCAGCAGCCAGGACGGGGAGGGGAATGCCTTCCCGGACAGGCGTGATGAAGCAGGTTTGCAGGCCGGTGGGCCATTGCAAAGAGCAGGACAAGGGTGAGTGAGATAAACTCCACTTCCTAGTATTGCAAGTCCCCACTTTCTGAGACCACGTGACTACTTGATCTAGACTTTGCAAGGGGCAAGCTGATTTACAGAGGCAGAAGGAGGTTATGTAAAATTTTAACTTTTCCTCTTCACCCACTCCCCATCTCCTTGGCCTTTCTCTTCTCACCTCATTCCTCCCCATCTTCTGAGGAAGTTCCATTTGTGTCTTTGTTTTGACTTTACCTCCATCCTAAGATGTCTTCACTCTCTGAATCTGCCTTCTCTTTCCTTCTTCTCTCCTCCTCTGTCTCCTCCTGTCTCCCTTCTCTCTAGTATCACTTTTAAATTTTCTTCTCCTCTTTCTCTCTTCCAGCTCATCCTAAATAGGAACCAACATTTTTTTTAAACTTGTTTTCCTTGAATACAGATGAGGCTACCTATTCTAAATTTTAAAAACAAGCAGGTAGAATATTTTCTTTTTATTTCATCAGAAACTGTTTTGCACTTGTATTTTTTTTTTTACAGTCAATCCACAAACATCTCCAGGTCATTAACTATGTACTAGGGATAGAGATTAAATATAAGACATAGTCTTTTAAAGGTTTCATAGCTTAGTGAGCTCCTCTTTGCTTGTTTTAACTGAAGATCAGTAATCCTTAGTAGAACAAGTATTCCTCAATAGAATAAACATCCCCTAAGCATGCAGAAATCATTTTTCTTTCCTGATTATCTATGGTTTTATTCTCTAGGTCCAGTTAAATTTAGAGATCAATTTCATGAATAATGCAGTATTACAGGTGGTTAGTGAATCTCCAGCATTCCCAGCTTGGGGTAAAGAACTCTAACTTACTGCTTTCTTTACCTCTATTTGACAGTTGGTTGTGAGATAGAAACACAGCCAAAATGTTTTTCCTTTGGCTCTTAGACTATTATTCTAGCAGTGTTGTTTTCATTACTACACACGTCTATTACCTAACTGAACTGGTGTTTAACAAATTGGTGAGTTGGCCTGTGTTCATATTCTAGTACTCGGTCATTTGTTTATTGAATTCATGGCTGCATTTATTTAAATGCTGTCTGTCAACCTCATTAAATACTCTTGGCACAATTTGTTTTAAACCCAACTTGCTCATAGGACATTCACGTAAGTCAACCTTTTAGTTTCAAAAAGAAATTATCTACAGAATTGAGTGATGACTTACTTTATACTTATTGACTTGTAAATGTAGTTTTCTTGAACTAGTTCAAAGTTCTCATTATTTGCAGCTATAGCAAGGAATAAATGAATTTAAGGTTCTTCAACCTGTAGACCTGGAAATCTGTAGAACATTTTGCATGTCTCTTCACTAGGTAAGCATTCACGGGCAAAGCAGTGCATTTAAGTGAAATAAGGAAAGCACATTTTGAGGAAAGCAGTGGAAATGTGTATTCATCTGGAATCAGTGAAGAAATCAAGCCAGATACCTCTTACTCGTTGGTCCTTTTAATGCAGAATAAAGCCATTTATAAAAACCTGACTGCAGATTTCCCAGCATACACACAGCGCATTATGCTGCGGAGGAGCGTGGTGGGGCAAGAATCCCAGAGGACGGTCTTTATCGTGCTGACAGAAGAAAGAAAAGGACGGGACTTTCCAATTACTTTTTTTGTATCATGTTTCCTACAAGGCTCAATTAGTTCTAATCTATACTTTCCCTTTCCTCAGCACCGACAGTATCCTATCTAACCTACAAGTGTGGAAACTTTTATTTGTAAAATCTTCAGCAGGCTTTGTTTTATTAAATTTTAAATTGCTACACTTTTAAATTTTCATTCCCAAATTTCCTTCTTGCTGTTTGTACCATGGAATAATAAAGATGATTGTCACAAAAGCAAGAGTGTGCCTTCTCCTAGGTTGTCAATCACCAATGGAGTTTTTTAAAAGACTTGTAAAACACTGAAGGAAATGACTTATTAAAGTCTGATTTTTACTTTTGTTCAAGGAACAGTGGATTCAAATAAATTATTATGCTTTCACTTGTATATAGCCTTGATTCTTTGTCTTGCAGAGTAAAAAGCTTACATAAATTGACATTATAGAATTAGGTTCTTTTAATCCCTTTTCCCCAGTGTGCATCATGGAGAGCTACCAAAATAAGACTCTTGCTCTCACATGGCTATTTACTTTTCAGGCTAGAAATTTTTTCTTTATTGGATTGTGACTTCTCCTTGTATATTGCTGTATTCTAAAAAACAAAAACAGAAACCAAATGGTAGAATTTAAAAACACCACTTTATAACTCCCAAATGAAATAACTGATTCAGATAACAGTTAGCACTAGGCAAGACTGCTAGATAAAATTTACCAGATAAAACTACCAAGAATCCTGTTGCAGAAACCCTGCACAGGAAAGGTGGTTGCGGCCCAGAGAGAAGCAGGTCTGCAGAGTGGCACAGAGAACTGCAGGCACAGTGAGGCTGGGGGAGTGGGGTCAGGACGGTCATCCAAGTCTTGTAGGTCTTGAAAATGAAAGACAAATATTTATATTCATTGACTTTGGCTACAGACACTCTGACCTGCCAGTGCCGCTCTTTAGGATTTCATTCTGGCTAAATAAAGGTAGAGGCAGTCTAAATATACAGCAGTGAGGGATTTAAAATGACATCAGTGACATTAAGTCCAGGCAGTGACTCACCTTCCAACTATTAAAAAAGAAGAACTATGACAAAATTTTCCGACTTTAAGCTATGTCTCATGGCCTATTATTTTATACAGAAGAAAGACATCAAAAGAAGAGCATTTCCTGCAAATCAAAACTATGATGAAGTATTACCTCACAAAGGTCAGAATGGCCATCATTAAAACATCTATAAATAATAAATGTTGGAGAGGATGTGGAGAAAAAGGAACACTCCTACACTGTTGATGGAAGTGAAAATTGGTACTGCCACTATGAAGAACAATATGGAGGTTCTGTAAAAAACTAAAAATAAGAGCTACAATATGACCCAGCATAACCACACTTGGGCTTATATCTGGAGAAAATGCTAATTCTGAAAGATATGTGCTCCCCAGTGTTCATTGCAGCACTGTCTACAATAGGCAAGACATGGAAGCACCTAAATGTCCATCAACAGATGAATGGATAAAGAAGATGGGACAGTTACATACAATGGAATATTAGATGACCATGAAAAAGAATGGAATAATGTCATTTGCAGCAACATGGATGAACCTAGAGATTATCATTCTAAGTGAAGTAAGCCAGAGGAAGACAAATATCATTTGATATTGCTTATATAAGGAATCAAAAAATGATATAAATGAACTAATTTACAAGTCATAAATAGACCTACAAGCATAGAAAACAAACTTATGGTTACCTAAAAGGAAAGGGAGGGGAGAACTAAATTAAGAGTTTGGGATTAACATATATATACTACTATATATAAAATAGATAACCAACAAGGACCTACTATATAGCACAGGGAACTCTACTCAATATTTTGTAATAACCTAAAAGGGAAAAGAACCTGAAAAAAATCACTTTGTTTTACACCTCAAACTAACAATATTGTAAATTAACTGCAATAAAAAAAACAAAATTTTAAAGAATAAAAACAGTAGCCTTTCTTTTTAAAATGCATTTTGAGTAAACCACTATATTTATACTATATCTCATATTTTCATAGAATCAAATGGTGAAAGGAAAACTAAGTCCTACAACTTACTCATTCTTTCCTGCTCTTTTTTCTCTACTAGCCTTATATATTTTTCTGCTGGAAAAGTCCATTAGTTCTACCACAAATATTTTCCTATACATTTGGTAAAAAAAAAGTATTATCTAATTAAAAAAGGAATCCATGCCCATTGTTAAAAGTGGATCTATACTTGGAAATTCAGAAAGCTAACCATAAAGCAATTAAAATCACCTGTAGAGAGTAGACCTGAAACATTCTCATGACAAAAGAAAAAAAAATGTAATTATGTGAGGTGATGGATGTGTTAGCTAACCTTATTGTGGTAATTATTTTACAATATATACATGTACCAAATCACCACACCTTAGACTTAACACAATGTTATATGTCAATTATATCTCAATAAATCTGGAAAAAATAAATATAAAATCGCTTGTAATTTCACTCCCAGGAAAATAACCTGTTAGAATTTTCTCAGGTTAGTCATGCATACGTTTATTCCTACTCCCTCCAGTTCCAGAAAGGATTTATGGTAGCTCATATAAATGCATAATAGAACAAGATAAAATATACCCCTCAAAATAAAGGTGATAAAACAGGATGAAGGAAAAATGAGAGTTTACAAAGGCGGTGTGAAAAAAGAAATGAGGTTAATAACTAGTATGATGAATTCCCCTTCATCTGAGAATACTATTTTATACCCCTGAGATCATGTGGCATATACAGGAGGATGTCTAAGGAGGGGCCTCTAAACCAAACGCCGTCTGTAGCTGTCAGAGCCAAAGAAAGTTTGCAGTCTTATTGTAGGGCTAGGAGAGAGCAGATCAGCCTTCCCAGCAACCCGGTCACCTTAGGTCCAGCCGCCTCTCTCCTCCTTTCTCAAGCATGAATTCACTTCCTTCCAGAGACCATGTATCTTCTTCCTTGGAGTTCAGTTCAGTCGCTCAGTCAAGTCCGACTCTGCAACCCCACGGACTGCAGCACGCCAGGCTTCCCTGTCCATCAGCAACTCCCAGAGTTTGCTCAAGCTTATGTACATCAAGTCGGTGATGCCGTCCAACTGTCTCATCCTCTGTCATCCCCTTCTCCTCCTGTCTTCAGTCTTTCCCAGCATCAGGGTCTTTTCCAGTGAGTCAGTTCTTCTCATTAGGTGGCCAAGTATTGGAGCTTCAGCTTCAGTGTCTGTCCTTCCAATGAACATTCAGGACTGATTTCCTTTAGGGTTGACTGATTTGATCTCCTTGCAGTCCAAGGGACTCTCAAGACTCTTCTCCAACACCAGGATTCTAACTACAATAAGCTACTGCTGCATCTCTGTGTTCCTGTTCCTAGATCAAATTTTGGGACACTTTAAAACATAGTCTTAAACAGCCTTTTTCTTTTTTGCTTCAAAATGACAATTTTTTGTTGAGGTATAATGGATGTACAATATTGAACAATATTGTAATTTCTAGGTGTACAACATAGTGATTCACAATTCTAAAGATTGTATTCCACTTATAAAATATTGGCTATATTTCCTGTGATGTACAATATATCTTGTAGCTTATTTCATTTTTATTTTTTATTTATTTTTAATAGCTGATTAACAATGTTGTGATGGTTTCAATTGAGCAGTGAAGGGACTCAGCCATACCTATACATGTATTGATTCATCCCCAAACTCCCTTCCCCTCCAGGTTGCCACATAACATTGAGCAGATTTCCTGTGCTATCTAGTAGGTCCTTATTGTTTATGCATTTTAAATATAACATTAAACCGCCTTTCCTTAAATAGGTAATTATACATTCACATGATTCACAAATCAAAATCCTATAAAAAGTATGCATTAAGAAAACTTTTTTTATTAGTGTTTGGTTTGGGGTTTTGGTTTGGCTGTTTCTGTGAATCCCTCCAGATTTTCTTGCTGCAACCAAGGGAAATATAAGCACATATTCTTATCTTTTTGAAACTCAGTTTTCAATCACTTGTAATTCTTCTCACTTTTGTATCTCTCACACACACAAAACACACAGACCCTCTTAGTGCGTGGTTCCACTCAAAGCAGCAAGGAATTGCTAAAGGGAGAAATGTGAAAGGATCTAGAATCGAATTAACTTTTGCTGTCACTGGTGTGTAACACCGGATGACTCACTGCTTTTTTTTAGTAAATAGGGATGAAAATCTCATAAATTAATCAAGGGAAGTGATGAATCAACCCAGATGTTCACCTAATTGACAAATTAATCTTTAAAAAACAGCCTAAAGTTCTTTCCTTATTACTAAACATAATCGTGGCTGTTGTTAAAATTTTTAACTTTATATTCCTGCCTCTAACTTGGAAGAGAATCATATTCCTCCTGCTTTTTATTTTGAAAGAGTATATCCTACTGATAATCTTTTAAGCAAAAAAATTAAAATCCTTATGAATAAAACAATTTTTCTTGTCTTTCTGACATTTGAGCACTTCCATATTAATAAAATCAATCTCAGTTAACATAAACTGCACACATACACTCCAAGAAGGTTCATGTGATCCCTAAGTTTTACAAAATCACACACCCTATAAAGTTCTGTTTAATAAAATTGTATTAATAAAATTGTGTTTAATAAAATTGCACAGTACATGACATAATTTACTATATGTTATTAAAGATTTAACTTATTTTCAGAAACTTTTAATTTTCTGCTTCTGTATGCGTCTATCATCCCTGTGAACTTGTATGTCACTTTTATATATTCTTCTAAAGTTCATGTTCAAATATATATGAATGTGTTTGTTTTAGTTTCATAAGGCAGTAAGAAAGCAAAGATTTCTTTCTGATGAGTAGACGGAAGTAAGACACAACACTTGGATGTAACACTGATGTTCTCCTTCCTTCTTATTTACCACATACACTTCTTAGTGGGATTATCATGTTAACCTTGAAGTTTACAAATACTTTTACAACTATTACCCATATAGATCTTCCCAAGAACCTTGTGGGCTAGAAAAAGCATGGCTGCTTTACAGATGAAGGAACAAATACTCAGAAAGTTGAAAGACTTGCTCAAGTCACTTACATAAAATGCATTTTGTGCATAACCTACACAATATTCCCCTATACATTCATTTTTAATTTATCTTTTAATTGAAGGTTTATTGCTTTACAGAATTACATTTAAAAATTTTTTTAAATTGGAGAATAAGTGCTTTACAATGTTGTGTTGGCTTCTGCTGTGCAACAACATGAATCAGCTTGACATGTACATATGTCCCTCCCCTCTTGAACCTCCCTCTCACCCCACCCCCTTCCTACCCCTCCAGGTCATCACAGAGCGCCAGCTGGGCTCCCTGTGTAATATAGCAGCATCCCACTAGGCAT